TCACGCACACAGTTGTCCACACAGGTGTTCAAAGACACAAACTACCCTTCCTTGGCTCTGGCCTCAAAGCATACTGCGCACTGTCAGTCTTACGTGCTCCTCAATACCATCCAGTATTTACTATTTATTGTTACACTACTCATCTAGGTTGTTGCTGTGGTCTCCCTACTGTGTTGTTCTCTTTTTGGTTGTTTTTTTTCTTTTTTATTTCAACAGGTGATCCAGCTGATTTTTTTTTTTGTGTCTTCTCTCAGTGTCCCTCTTCCCCTCTGTTTTTCTTTCCCTCCCATTCTTTCTTTTTCCCTTTCTTAGCCTCCATTCATCTCTGTCCAGTCTATAATAACTTAAAAGAAAATTAAATAAATAAATAAATAAATAATAATGTTAATAATAAAGATCAATCAAATGGACCAATATGGCATAGCCATACTGACCCACTTGGAAAAATAAATCCATTGACCTTCAGACAATAATTCTGATTGCTAAAGTACCGAACGGAACAGGCAAAAAAAAAAAAGGAAAGCAAACAAACAAAATGGGCTCCACATTAAAGTTTTATAAGTGAAAAGTTGCTACCTTTAAATTGTCTTACTCTAGTGCACTCTAGTGGTAATGAAAGAAACACTCTGGTACTCGAGAGGTAGAATGAAATTAGACTAACACAGCGTAAACAGTTTCCGAAATGTCATTATGATTAGTAGTGCTATAATAATAATATCTTCTTTTACAGTGATTTTAAAGATTTGTGTTCATTATTCCTCAGTGTTAAATGCTGCACTTGGTTTCAATATTGATCCTGTGGCTTGGAAGACCCTGAGTAACTCTGCTGCTGGTTTTGGCTACCAGGTGGTGCAGAGACAATCAGAGTAAGTCAGGACATGCATAGTTATGTTGAAAGCGGGTTTACAGCTGCATGTTTAACATTACTGCTATTTCTTTTTATATTTATTTACCATCTCTGTTATGCTATATGGACATATGGAGTTTATTTAATTAGAGTTTGCTTTCTAGACTTACATGATTGACTGGATTTATTTTGTTAGTTTGCTCGTCAGTGCTCCACTGGAACAGCATTCACAAAATGGAAGAGGGAA